ATATATATATTGTTACAGAAGTTAATATATTATCAATGAGACAGAAGGAAGACAATAATTATAACCCAAAAATACAAACATGACAGGAGAAAATTAATAATCTACTCTTCTCCCTCAACATAATAATCCTTTAAAAGATATGCAGTCTTCATTCTAATTATACTGCTACTGCTGCTGGGATTGTTATATTTGCCAAAGTGCCATCCAAGTGAGCTTCCAAAAGAAACTGCAGCTGCTGTCCCTTAGTCTTAGCAACAAAATGGCCTGCTCCTCTCACTGTTGCATAATCAAGCCCAACAGGATATCCTTCAGAATATCCTCCAACCTGCACCAAAAAAAAGGCAAAATTCATTCATTAATAACAACAAAAAAATTCTTAGCTCCATAAATAAAGAGATCATCAGCTTAAATTACATCGATCTTTGACGGGTACCACCCGTGCCAATAAGTTTTCTTCGTAAAGTTTAATTTTTTGGTTGATAACCTCGACGACATCGGCGGAATCACCATGTCGGCATCCCCGCTGAAACCATGAGCTCATAAGTTAGTAGAAATGAACTAAATTGAACTTCAATTGGTTCGGCATGAACTTACTTGTAAACAAGGGCTGAAATGTTGTGAGTGAGAAGGTTCTTCAAGATGGGCAATGTTGAATTTGTGATCTCTCCATAGGACTTGGCCACATCACTGTAAATAAATCAAATACTAGTCTTAGAAGAAATGCTCACCCCACCTCTCACAAAAATTTTCAGGAAAATCTACATACATACCACACATTTCTTATGTATTTACATATCTAACACCAAAAGTTTAATATTTATACTAAAAACGTCTTGGTGTCATAAATCTAGACATGAAAAGTTGTGCTTTACTTTTATACATATAACAATGGTTATATTTTTGATGTAATGTTAAAAAATTGAGTGGTATGCTTAAATATGAATGCTAAGATGTTTGATATACATAAACAATATAATTCTCTCTCTCTCTCCCTCTATATATATATAGATTCATAATGAAGAAAAAATACAATAATAAACGAATGGGTTTCTCATATACACATAAATTATGGATGGCTGAAAATTTTAAATGACAATTCCAAAATAACCTTTAGCATCATTACCTGTTGCATTGGATCCATTTCTTCGGCGCCTTCGCCGGATTCACATGCAGCGCCCGCTGAACCTCCGGCAATCCGAGATAGGCGGCGACATCCTTTTCCCGGCATTCGTAGTACTCATCCACCTGAAACAGTGCAACAGATTAAACGACACAGGCAGACAAAACCACCATGATTTACTTATAAAACCACTTACAGGTAGTCTTGGAGTTGTGATTTCCGTCGAACAACAAAGCTCAGCTCGGAGATCAAACATATAAAGCGGAGCGATGACCCTTCCAGCGGTCTGTGTCGCAGCAATGCAACCCTTGCTCGTCGAATTCTTTATGCAATGTTTCTCTATATCGTCATACAACCTCTGCGACAGCATTCCATGGCTCCAAAGATGGTCGAAGAAGCCCCAACGGTCTTCCTCAGCATCCAAAACAGCGTTTTGCAGCTGCCAAAAGTAGGAAAAACAGGACAGTTATATCATCAAACACTTTGTGTGCATGACTGTAGTGAGGGAAGGGAGATGCTCACGATGATGCCTTTGAGATTGATGGAAGGGTATTTTCCGGAGCGTTTGCGGTTGTGGATGAGCTGGGCTAGTTGGGGGATGTAGTTGCCGGCGTAGCCCTCGCCGGCGAGGTAGATTTTTTGGCCGGCGTATTCAGGGAAGCGGGCGAGCCAGTTAACTAAGAAACGGAGACTGTCGGCGGCGACGGTGGCATCGTTGTAGTTATGGTAATCGGAAGGAGTGTCGGAGTAAGAGAAGCCGGTGCCGACGGGGACGTCCACGTAGAGGACATGAGCAACTGCAGATCATATCCAATACTATTAGCCCAGTACATATCTCTATTTTCCATATTTAATTTTCTTTATGCAATGTAATATGAAAAAGAATTGAATCAAAATAACTTACATCAAATATAAGATTTAAAGTTATTAAATTTATTATTTTGGGAAGAATTACTTTTGATTTCTACTCCTCTTGGATGGTCTAATTGTTTTTAAATGTGCACTGTGTGCGCTTATGCATGTGTATCACACCGACATGTGATACATAAGAGCGTTTATTCCTTGCGGACACCGGACGTAAATTGCGTCCGGTGTCCAATCAGGAATTTTTTAAACAAAAAAATTTAAATTGAGGTCCACTGACATACACTTTTGGCAAGGGGAGTGCTTTGAGAGGTTCACCATATGTATTTCTGTGTTAATGTAATAATTTTTTCGTTCCATAAGGTTTCGTCATTAATGTCTACTTAAAAATCAAAGATAATATTTTTTAAATATAAATTATTATTATCAAGATTGTCTATTAAAGTTTGTTAAAATAATATAACTTAGGAACCATCAAGCTCCTCGACCAATTGCAAGGCTTGTCACATGTATCAATATCATGAACATTATTCTGCAAAAATTTATATTTTTCTACATACTTTCTTAGGCTTAAGATAGATAAAACTCAAAAGCATATAATATATTTTCATAGATAAACATAATTAAAAACTATAGCATTCTCCTGTCTAGGGGTGTAAACGAGCCGAACACGAGCCACGAGCTGAGGCTCGTGTTCTGCTAGTTTATATTTCGAGCTCAAAAAGTGTGTTCGTTTAACGAGTCGAACATGAGCTGTTCACGAACAAAAAGTTTTTTTAACAACCCTAATCATATAGCCATAAGATAACAAGGGTTTGAGCAAGATTTAAAAATTATTATTTATATTAAAACATCATTTGAATCTAACTTAATAATTTTTATTTTATTTTCTTAATCAATATTTTAATTGGTTATAAATCCTTGTATCCTTGTAGTCAATTAGATTTTTTTAAAATATTACTTTATATATATATATATATATAAACTTCATGAGTAGTATTTCGAGCCAAAACGAGGCCAACACGAACAAATACATCTTATTTCGTGTTCGGCTCGTTAACTTATCGAAAGAAATTAATGAGCCGAGCACGAGCTTCTTAACGAGTCGAACACGAGCTGTTCGCGAACAACGATCCGTTTTGACAGCCCTACTCCTGTCTTCGTTTTCTTTCAATAAATAATTAGAAAATCTGAATAAACGAATCGATTACTAACATTTATTCCAAGCATAAGAAGACTCCATCAAAGCTTTCCCCCCCGGTGCCACAAGCAGAGGACCATGCTCAAGAAAAGCCCCGGCGCCAATGGAGGAGCAACCAGGCCCGCCATTAATCCACACGAAAATCGGAATTTCTGTAACATTAACAGTCTGCTTGGACACGGCGAAGTAATAGAAAATGAAACGTCCGGACTTGTCGTCGACGGGGATGTAGCCGGAGTACTGCCGGAGAACGATGCCTTTGGGCTGGCCGGGGAGGGCGGAGATTAGGTCTGAATCCTTGGATCCTGATTTTGAGGAAATGGGGATGTCGGGGAGGAAGGTGAGGTTCCAGGGCCCGGCGGTTCCGGAGATGATCTTGGGGTAGATGAAGTCGAGAATGAGGCGGCCGGTGGTGGCAGAGGATGGAGATAGGAGGAGGAAAAGGAGGGGAAGGAGTATCTTCATGGTGGCGGTAGAGATAGAAAAGGGAAGGAGGGTTGGGGTTTACTTTATAGGAGGTGTTGGTTTCACCGGAGCGCGTCAGTTTGTGGGTTTGGCGGGGAGGTTTCAACGTTTAAATTTCTGTTCAGGTGGTGGAGCAAATAGCCTAACAAATAGCGGACATGGCCGTTTGTAATTTGTATGCCTTGTAAGATCTGAACCCTTAAAAATTCAGTATGGGCCCATTCTAACAATTAAAAAATAAAAAAAAGTATTTTAATGTTCCAGGTTGAAGGCCACACACAAATTTGTTCGCAAATAGTAAATAAGATTATTTTATGAGGGAAAAATTTGCGTACGTCAAGGGGTATGCAGAGATGCATACATAATAGGGTACACGGGGTTTATACCGGGATTACAAGGGAGTTATAACCCGTTGTACCTCCCGTGTAACCCCGCTGTAAACTTGTAAACTCAATGGATAAAATAAAAGCGCGGGTTACAGCCGAGTTACACGAAAGTTACAAGGAAGTTATAACACGCTTGTAACCCCCATGTAACTCCCATATAACACCCGTGTAACATATTATGTACGCATCTCTGCGTACCCATGGAGGGTCATTTACGTACATGCCACCCAACTCATTTGTATTTACATATCTAACACCTAAATTTTTATTTCTTATACTTGTACCATTCAAATTTTTTTTTTTCTGTGGCAACAAAATTATCATCAATTTACATTTATAACATGAAATAATCTTATCATGTAAATACATAATAATTGAGTGATATGTTAAAATAAATTTATTTAGATGATGTTTCTCATAAATATTATGTGGTTTACATTATCATTTCATAAAATAAAATTAATAATAATTTTTTTAAATAAAATAATATAAAGTTCAATTGATCAATGCTACTAAACTCTTAGATATTTACTAAAATTTTACTTGAGACTTTATAAATCGCACCAATCTCTCTAATTAATTCAATATCATGATTTAAAATTGACTATAATATTCTTAGTTAATTCATTAAACAACATACCACTCAATTGTTGTTTATGTACATACCGAACACCTAAATTTAAATTTTTTACAAGTCAAAATGTATTTTGATTTTTTACCGGTTTACATGAAAAAAATATAGCTGAAGACATAGAAATTGGGTGGCATGGATGTAAATGCCCTTTTCTTCTATTATTACATTAGTAAAGGAGCGGAGGAGAGAGAAATATGATGTGAAAAAATGAACTTTTTTAAAATTTTTATTTTCTTAAATAAAAAACTTAAAAAATAAGTTTGTTGAACGAGTTGGTGGACATGAAAAAAAAAAAAAAAAAAAAAAAAAAAAAAAAAAAAACGTTTCCAAGGAGGAAAGAGAAAATGATAAAAGAGAGGTAGATACTAACAAGAACTAATTTCATGACAAATTTTCCGTTCATTTGGAGAATTTATATGCGTACCATACCACTCAATGTTGGTGTATTTGCATATCTAACTTCAAAATTTTGATATTTATATTTATTTGTGAAATCGTTTCAGGATGCCGGGTCCCAAAATATCTGTGAGTTCACACAAGTCGGAGAGACAGGTGTAGGGGAAAGAAGATGATGAATGTATTCGCCGGGCAGAATCATAAGTTATGCTTTCTGATACTTTTTCAACAACGCGAAGCAGATGATTTAACGAAGAGAGGGGATAAAAAGGGTTCCGTGAGAGTTAGGACGCAAGATCCGTTTAAAAGCTAGGAAAGAGATTGAGTCTTCTCTCTCCATTCTAATGTCTCATTTTTATACATGTATGAACAAATATTCATATATAAGTCGCGTCATATAAAATTTATCCACGGTGACTTGATGAAATGATCGTGATGTTTGTGTTTAATGTCTAATAAATAAGGACGTGGCACATGTCAAACCATGGTGTTAGTTTTGAGTTTTGTGTTCTTATTGGTATGAGGATTGCCGAGGAGATGAGTCTTGCTAGTGAGTTTTATTGGTCAGTTTGTCAGATGGAGTGATAAGACAAGTTCGGCGAGCTAGTTCGCTAAGTCAGTTAAGCGGGCCAGCTTAGTAGCTAGTATGAGACAACTAACACATCAATGAGTGAGGCTGGCTGATCATCCTAGCGGGTCACTCCATCGAAAGACATGTCTTATGGATGGTTGGGCTAAACAAAGACCAGGAGGCCTGTTAAGTGCAAACTTATACCCATGAAGATTTTTGGTACCACATAGTTTCCCAATTCTCTCATTCCTTCAAGAGATTGTTGCAAAAAGAATGAGAGAATGAAATAAATCAAGTTTTTGTATCATGTCTTATCCATGTAAATGATGAGAAGAAAGTATTATGCTCACCGAGTTGTCTGCATTTCTGGGTAGTCATATCGTCGGAAAGCATAGATATATCCAAGCTGATCTTGAAATATGCTTTGAATCAACTCACTTACTTTACAATCCATAATTGGGAAAATTCTAGTACTAACCTTGCCAAGTTCAGACTTTTCTCTCTTAGAGGTTGTAATTCTCCTATGAAGAGTAGTAATTTTTCCTTTACTTTAGGGCTTAGATGGTCCCTCCCTTAGGAACCTTAGCTCTTCTACTGGGACTAGTCCTCGTTGCCTCTAACTAGGAATAAGATATTTCTTCGCCTCGAGGATTTGCTTTTTCCTGAAAGAGTAGTCATAAACTAGTGAGCCTTCTAATTTTCACTTCTTTCCCAACATGGATGTTAGGAAATATATGCATTTATAGGTAAATATAAAAGTACATGATTTTCAAAACTTCCTCATGCCATAGGAATGCCAACATTATGTTTTCTATTATGGAGTTGATTTCATTGGGGAATATATGTCAAATGATTTGAATGTAGACCGTGTGACATGATAGTTGGGCCCCTATGCTAATGTTGTTACCCTTTCAAGAAGAAAAATTTATAATTAAGCTTTATAATCACCACTCATCATTATGTAATCTTATTTAAGGTTAACTCCTTATTGGAGGTAAAAGACATTTTTAGAGGTTACGGACTCCTAGTATGAGAAATTTTCTCTGTTCTCCTTCAGTTCAGGAGTGTTTTCCTTTGATATCTGAGGATAACATATTTTCTAAGATGAAGTTATATTGGATTCTTTGTTAATACGACACACGGATCTAGAATAGTTAATTTTATAAATAATCAAACACAATATCATAAGTAATATGCCATATAGAGAGATCAAAATATCAATTTATTATGGATAAAGGAATTTTTGAAATTTAATGGGTGTACATTTAAACAAATAATTCTTTCTCAAGGGCAAACCTCTATAGTTAGTTACATCTTAAAAAAATAAAACTTTCTTAAGAAAACTCTTGATTAATGTTATGGTTATATCCTTAAGAATTTCAAAGATCATGTTGTTATGATTATTTATGGAATAATTCTTCTTGGAACCCAAAGGAGAAAAAGTATGAAGTGTCAAAATAATTAGGAACTCAGTGAAACTTCGACTATCCTATTATTTAAATTTATCAATTTGAAAATTTGAAGAAATCACGTGTTTGATTTGATATTTTATTTAAGTTTTAAGACATATATCACACAATATATGATTGTGAGAACGCCTAGGAGATGAGGATTTACCTAGTAACTAGAATAACAACCTCAAAATCCTAAGACTAAAGGTGAGCTTTATCGGAAGCAATAAAACCTCAAAATTTAATCTTGAGAAAAGAAAATGTAGCAAACAATGGGATTTATAGTCCAATCTTATAAAGGATCGTCCAATCACGACATGATTAGACTTACAACCCTTCTAATAAATAGTTGTATGTCATCTAAACCCACAAAATCACAGTAAAATCATACATGGATAGTCTCCTGAAGTGCAAGATAGGTTAGGCTATTGATTATTAAGAAAAATATGTCCTACAACTTGATTTTAAAAATATGCCTAAGTGATCCCAACTGTTTATATGCAACATTATAACAATGTCTCTTATTATATTTTCACTTATATTTCCTTACTTTGCAACAGAGTCAAAACTTGATTTTGAAGAAAATAAGAATTTAACTTTTCAATTTGAATATATATATATATATATATATATATATAGACAG